CTTCACTCATTTTGGAGAAAATGTGCTTATCTCTTAAGGTCATGAAGGTAGTCATTTGTCTTTCTGACAGCAGGGACTGCCAATCCACAACAGAACAGCTGCCTCCTCTTGGAGTGTCTCCTATATCAGTGCTCAGGGACAGAAATCTACTTCCCCTTATAAGAGGAAGATGAGAAATGGTTGCTGATTTGTTGGTTTGTTTTTTGAAACATAAAAACTTACAAGAACTAACAAATTATTTAATTCACTGAGTACTTAACTGAATGGGGAAACATAGGTTAATATTGACCTGGAAACAGCTTGTGATTATGACCTCTAGCTTCCTGCCTTTTCTTTCTCTGCCCTCCTTCCTTTTCTTCCTCTCTTAAAGTCCCTAGCTTCTCTGTCTGTTTCTGGATCTCTATTACTCTTGTTCTTTTTCTCATCATGTCTGATCTTTAAGTTTCACAAGCAACATCTACCTCTCTTGTGGACCATTATTTGCAGAGTTTCCTTGGTTATAAAAGGAATAGCTGTCCTCTAGCTCACATTAACCCCTTAATGGAAAGAATATTCTTGAACCAGGACAGTTCTACCTTACATTTCTTCCCAGGCATGGGTTCATTGTTTTTTACAGCCCCCCCCCCCAAACCTAAATGTTATACTCAAATTGGAAAGAAAGCTTAGGTATCTATTGTTTAAGTCTGAAAGAATCTTTTGGTTTTGAAGATCACAGATCTGGACAATTTAATTTTGACGGTATAAACCTAAATAATCTCTAAGAGGGTCAATTACAACTAATTTTTTTTCTGGGTTTTTCAGGGTGGTTTTGTATAATTTTTTTTCCTAGACATCTCAGTGTCCATATAAGCATTTGTGGCATCTATATTCTCATAAACACCACAATAAACTCCAAGTGCATTTCATTTATAGGCCACAATTTAAGCCAAAATGAGGGATACAACTTACACCATTAAAAAAGCATGAGTGTGTGTGTGTGAGTATATGTGTGTATCTACCTGTATACGTGCATACATAATGATTTATGGGAATAATCTCAGTCTAAATCAGCAGGTAGAACCTAACCCACATAATGTAAACTAGTATCAGACATTTGTCTCATGGGTGACCTGACTCCAGAGTTGGCCCATAGGGTGTCTTGCAAGTAGTTTAAATTGCTATGTGCAATGAGTAGCAGATGGTTTACATGCATAAATGGGCTAAATAACCCTAGCATAATCTGGAATGACTTCCAGGGGTAAAGCCAGGCTTCCCCATACATAATAATATCTGGCATTTGTTTGGACGGTAGTGATATTTACTCTGCATATTTGAGAGATCCATGACTATCTTTAGGAATTGCTAATTAAGTCAGGGTTGGACTGAAAACCTCAATAGTGGAAATTAATCCTTAGTTATATTAGACAGTATAAAAGGCCTTGGAGTATGCCAGAGAGTCGTTTTTTATCAGAAAATATCATCAACATAAACTTGAAAGGAACCTTAATGTAAACAAATAGCACGTAATATCTTATCAAAAGAAAAAAATATTGAACTTTCTCATCAGATATGCTAACCCAGTAATGGGCTATAGGGACACAGTGGTTTCTTGTAGAGACATTATTGACCTGGACTCTGACGAAAGCTTTACCTGCTATTTCATGTGATGAGAACTAATTCCCTAAGTAATTCCCCAAGGATTTGTGCTTCCTGGTAAATGAGGTTAGATTGTAAGTGACAGTGATACTTTATGTTCTCATGTAATATAAAATATACTCACTCAAACAGCTTCAATTCCAATCACACACACAAAGCTAAAGTTTTCTGACACAAGTCCTAGAAGGTCATAGCTCCTTGAAAGAGAATTATTGCCTTAATGTGGAGTGGATCTAGGCCTGGAATCCAGGTATTACAACATATTCTGTGTTGTTTGATTGGTTTTAGAAGATGTGCCGATCTCATGTTGGTGAGTTTGAGTATTTTCTGTGATAGAAAAATACATAATAATTGAACATCTACTTTATGGTCCCTTCCAACTAAAAATGCTCAAAAGTCATAAACATTGAATACATACTAAGTAATTTTGGAAGATGGGAAAGGAAGCAAAATCATAGGATGGTTTACAGTCTCAGCAAACAGTGAGTCCTGATTTGATGGACAGTTCATGCATGGGAACAGCTCGAGGGGAAGGATAGAGGCAGACCACTGTGCATCCATGAACAGAGAGAGATTTGTTTGTGTTCTGGAGAGCAGAGAAGAACAGACAATACAGTAGAAATTACCAAATGATATCAGATTGCATAGGATTTCTGAAATAACTTTTATTTTGTGACATTACATGTGGGAACACTGTAAATATTTAAATGGTCAGGTAAGCCAATGGCAATCCATAAAATTCAGTTTGACATGGATTCCAAGGGAGTTTTGAGCATAGATATTATGGAAACCAGTGAGGAGATCTCTCAGAGGTATGAATGAGACAAACAAGAGACACTATAAAACAAAAACCAAAGTTCTAACAGGACTGTGCATGTACAGAAAGAGCGGGGGGGGGGGCAAGGAGCTGAAAATATCCACGATTTTTCCAAGAAAATGGAAGCAGTAATCCTGCTGTGCACTGGAAAACTAGGGCTGGAGGGGAGCTGGATTTTGGTGTAAGACATTAGAAGACTGGTCTCTTCCAGAGGCATGAGAAAGGCCTGGTGTGCAGAAGGCACTGAGGCCAGAGCCAAACAAGAGCACATGGAGAGAACAGAGCTTCAGATCCTGTATGTGACACAAGAAGAAAACATCAGAAGGTGGAAAACACTGCCCTGTGCAGAGTAGAAGGACAGAGAGAGAGCAATCAGGGTGGGATGGAGAGAGAAGAGGGTGTGTAGGTCTTAGATGGAAAGAGAAAAGAGGAACGTAGTCAGTTTCACTAAGCATTGAAGGGAAATAGAGGTAAGGGTCACTACACACATGTATGCAAATGCATGTGTACAGTACATGGATGGGCATCTGTGTGTCCAGGAGTTATAAAAGCCAGTGTCCACTAGCAACACACATTATACAGGTATGATGTCTATTCCCAATTTTCAACTTAATGAGATCTGGATTCACCCGGGGGACAAACTCTGGGCATATTTGTGGGTGATTCCCTTCATTGGGATAATTGAGGTGGGAAGATCCATTTGCCTTGGGTAGGACCAGTGCCTGGGGCGGGATACCGCCTGTCTGTAAAGGAGAAAGTGAGCTGAGTACAGGTGTCCATCACTCTCTCCTTCTTTACTGTGAATATAATGTGATCAGCCACCTCAAGCCTTTTAGACAGTGGCTTTTCCTCCGTCTCCATTGACCTGTGTGCCAAAGGAAATTTTATTCCCTCTTAAATTGCTTTCATTGGAGTATTCTATCACAGCAAAGGAAACTAAGGTACCAGCATTTTTCTCTGAACTTTACAAGTCATTGCTGTCCTGTTAAGCAAATCCACGAGTCTGTTAAAAGGTATCAAGAATTTATTAAGATATAAAATGGAGAGAAATACACTCACAGATAAAGAAGAAAGTAAACAGCCACCTTCATTCTCCACAGTTTTAAGAGGTCACACACCCAGAAAAAACCATGCCTCTATCAGGCCAGATACCCCAAGGTCATTGGTGGAGCAAATTCCCATAACCCCATCCTACATTTTTTTATTCCTTGTTAGCTCTATTCTTCAGAACCTATATCCTGAGAAATAACATATTTCTTTTAATACTATTTACTAATATAAGCAATATATTATGAATGAAAGAAATACATCCTAACATACTTTGCATTTCTGAGAAGCTTCCATAGCTCCAGACTCCTGCTCACACTAGACTGTGGCACCTGTTGGGCAGCATCTTTAGGTCCTCTCTTTCCCAGGCTCCCACAAGAAGGCATAAACCCAATAAATGGCAACGTGTTGTGCTTCTCTTTGCTAATTCATTTCCAAACTCCCACCAAATGAGTATAAACACAGCATCTGCCTCCTTTGAAAAAGTATGAAGTTTCTTGGAATATGGATACTCAGTGTCTTCACCACACAGCCTGTGCAATGTGTTTGGTGCTGTGCATATCCTAGGCATTAAGGAGACTCATCACAAGTTTATTTCACATGATAGGTATAAAATGAATACCCAAAAGATTGCAAATGTTTTAGAAGATAATTATAAAATTCAAAATAAATGGAGTGCCTGTGAGATTTCCCAGTGGGAAATACAATTGCTGGCAAACGTGACAACTGATAACACATTCCTACAAGGTGTTCTCTGTCTTCCACTCGCATACATGCCAGGCCCTGTGCGCCGCACGTGTGCGTGCGTGCGTGCGTGCTGGTGCACACACACACACACACACACACACACACACACACACACACACACATACACACACACACACACACTGAATCTATCAGTCAGCCTATAGAAAGAAAATGTAGAGAAGTTGAAAAATGTTATATAGAAAGCATAATAAACATAGTCATAGAAATAAGAAAGGAGGGAAGGAGGGAGGGAAGAAGGAAAGAGGTAAGGAGGAAGGAAAAGGAGGAGAGAAGGAGGAAAGGGGATTCAAGAAAGAGGAAAAACAGGAAGAAGGGAGGGAGGAAGAAAAGAAAATAAAGAGGGAGAGAAGGAGTTACTTGGAGAGGGTGGATAAAACATTTTGGGACCATGGAGTCCTAGAAACTAAAACTGAAAACGAACTAAAACATGGTCCCTTGTTTTACTCCTGAATGGGATGTTTTTCTTCCATGAAAACCAATTCTAGTAAATTGTGCAGGGAAACAAGACCTGTGCTTGGAGGGATTCTGTCTCTACTCCTCAGGAACTCATCTGTGAATAAAGTGCCTTTAAGAACAAGCAGTTATGAAAATGTTTATCCCCAGAAAAATTATTAGCCAACACCAGAAGTATTCTGTACATGCCCACGTGCAGCAAAATGGGAGTGGAGGCAGAGCTCTACCCCACCAATTTGAATGTTGCCTAGCTAATGTTTTCTCTCTCGCTTGTTCACAGAACCTAAAGTAAGCTGCAAGCTAGGCCGGTCTGCGTCCACATCAGGGGTTCCTCCTCCTTCGGTTGCTCCTCTCAGACAAGCCAGTGACCTACCACAGAGCCAGGTACCATCATCGTTAGCCAATCGTGATTGACTTCCTGTGGTGCAACATACCAAATGCTTCCCACCTGTCTGTCCTGTGTTGCTGTAGACACCGTTTGCACTTGCTTTGATTTCTCTCTGTGTGTATGGGGAGGGGAAGGGTTCAGCATCTGTGTTTTCATCCCCAAGAGAATGTCTTTCTTCTTTTGTGATTGGTGAAAGTTTCTTTGCTGTTTGTTACTGAATCGTTTTGTCTCTGATTTCCATCATTCTGAATTATAAATGTAGTAAATGTGCACTATATGTATGGGCATAGTGGCTACTTTAAAAAAAAATTCGTTCTCTTTTCCATGTTCTGTGTACTTTTATACTGTCTTTGAAAATTTATCAACATTTGATAAATTTATCTACTTCTTGTGTAAATTTCTTTTTAAATGTTTTGTCCATAATATTTGCACAGATGTTGTTAATGAATCTGTACATATATTTTAACTCTGATTCTACTATACTGTAATATTTGTGGTAATTTACTCAGATTTTTATTTAGCTTCAAGCATGATTGTAAGACAATGTCAATACTGATGTTCTTATAAATATTCATATAACTATTGACTCCTTTGGATTGAATGTGGCAACAAGTCTTTCTTCATTCTTAGCCCATAGAGACAAATTAGCCAACCAAATAACTTCAATATTTACCAACAGCTGTAGATTAATAGGACAACCTTTCAAATAAATGGCATTTCTATCTTCAACCAACCATATTAGAAATGTTCTCAGAAAAGGGAATGTAAGTGTCTTTGCATGGCAAATGAGATCTTCATTATCACTTGGAGAAAAGAGATAAGAAATAAAGGCATAAGCTAAAATACCATTTATTCCTTTATAGTATAATATGTCATTCTGGTGTTCATTTGGGTGAATGGCTGTGAATGGGAGTTTAGGAAAAGGACAATCACTACATATAAATATTGTTTTGTAACTCAACCAATAGGAAACCAATACCTTAACTGGTGAGCTTTGGTTGTTTTTGCTGTGAGGTATTATGGATATTAAGCAGGACAACACCATGTTGGAGTAGTAGTTCTGCTTCCTAGCTCTTGTATTTGCATTCATGGTACTCTGGCGAAACAAGACATTATAAAACTAATAAGATCTTCTAGGAAACTGTCCAGCACTGATCATCAAATTGCTCATTCATCAAATATGTTAAATGTCAGTATCTTTTAAAATCATTTTGTGCTTCTTAATATTTTTGTCTGACTAAACTATGCACATTATTTAATTTATGAATATATGAATATCTACAAACACTTGTCTCTCTCAGGTGCATCTCAAGTATCATTTATGATTTCTTGTGTCTTAATTTAAACCACTAAAGGCCTTTGTAATTAAATATATCCATTTTAACTACTCTAAGGGTTGTAGGATATGTGGGGAGGGGACACTTGCCTCTGAGTCACAGTGACAGAAAGGACCACTTCTCTACTGTCTCTTAAACATTGAAAAGCTATTAAAGACGTGATATGCAGATTAGTCTCTTTTAACACAGTTAGGAAACTCTCTGTAGCCCAATTGTCTGGTTATGTGTGGCGTATGGTTATTTGTCTGATTGTGTGCTTATGGAACCAGAAGAATGACCAAAAGAGAGTAGGTATTTCAGCAGCCAAAGCTGACCTCCTACTGGACCTCAAGCTTCCCCACAGCAGGAATTCCTCTGGGCCATGCAGGAGATTTGGCCTACAGTATCTGTCATTCATGTTAGTATACCTTGAAGTTAGCCCAGCATGTATTTCTAAATACAGAAAAGCCCAAATAGGGAACATGGAAAAGAGTCACAAAGATCATTACATGTTATGATGAAGTTGCATTAGCATAATGCAAGTAGGAAAATTCCCATTATCTTACATGTGCTCTCAATAGTTCTGTCTGATTGATTTAGAAAAATGTGAGGCTTTAGTTTTCTGCAGAGCTCTCTATTCTGTTTAATTAATGTCAGAGTTAAATGAAGGAAAGATTACCTTTAAATGGCAGCTGGATCTTGAAATGTTGGAATTATTTAATTTCTACATTCCTGCAAGGAACTCAAATGGCAGGGATTCTGATTACATTTTATAAACGACTATGTCATAGGATATTTACAATTTAAATATTGCATGGTCATTAAATTTGAATGCTTTAAGTAAAAGATATTTAGAGGCCACTTTTTGAGTCCAGCACTCTTATAACCCGCATCTCAGAAATCCATTACTGGGAAGAATAAAACAACAAACTCATGCCGGTCCCCAAGAGTCTGCCATCTATCCCTTCCAGGTGTGCAACAGAGTAATGTCATTTAGAACCTCACCTAAGAAGACTTAAACTCTTTGGGTGGCAATTAGGTCAAAGGACTCTGGAGTGTCTGCTAGCTGGCCCAGCAGTCCTCCATGTCTGGATGTGTCCTTTATACCTTTATTGTCAGAAGTCAAAGCTGTCAATAGAAGTAACCAGGAAAAATTATAAAGTAACCAGAGAATATATATATATATATATGTATATGTATATGTATGTATGTATTATTACAGGAGGATCCAAGGTGAAGTTTGCACAGTGACAATCCCATGCCATTCACTGTCATATCTGCTTCTTGTGTACAGGACTCACGCAGACATGTGCAAAGCGTTCCTGTATTGTGCAACATTAGATGGGTACTCTTACTATCCCACATGGCAACTGAGAGTGCTAGGATGAGGTGGCTACCACAGCCTTCCCAGAGGTTTTTCTTTGTATGTTTTCTTATGGGTTCCTAGAGCCTATGCTAGATCTGAAATACTCAAATATGTCACACATTTTTTTCTGAGCCTGTTTTCTTATCTGTAAAGTATTGGAAGTATTAGTTGATTAGTAGTATTGTTGAGAATCAATGTGATTTCATATATATGTATATGTATACATATATGCATATACACATATACACACACCACACACACACACACACACACACACACACACACATATATATATATATATATATATATATATATATATATATATATATATATGAAAAAGCCTAGGTAGATAGTAACTGCTAGAAAAATATTAATTCTTTCTCTTCTTCCCTTATATAATTTAACTCTCCCAATAATCTAATTTTCCTACTTGCTGGAAAACTCTAAGGGAATACTTGTGACCAGTGGTATTACAAAGGAGGTGGATGCTGATGGTTTGTTTGCTTCACTCCAGTATTACCAGCCACAGTAATAGAACAGTGAGAAATTAGACACTCAGAATTTACTAGACAGTAGTGACTTTGTCTTGTCCTGTACTTAGATGTGGTTTGGTTGCAAAGTATGCAAAAATTAACCATAGGTGTAATTTCAGTTCATCTGTCATATAAAATTTATTATCCTATTTGAATTAAATGATAACTGAATGCAATGGAAATACTATAGCTATATAGGATACTATCATCCCATCAAACAATGCAGAAACACGGGGCACATTTTTGCTAAGGTCAGAATTGACCTTAAGATTTACCCCTCCACTGTTTCAAATACCTTGTTCCTATTAAAAAACATCATGCACATTGTAGAATTCATATGTAAAAACTGAAATGAATGCGGCTTCAACAGGCCTGCTCATATGGCTTGGAGCAAGTCAACAAATTAGTGGATACAAGGCTCCCCCTAGCAACTGAAATGCATACTACAACCTGCACTTCAAAGGGGGCTTATATTAGAGACTTACTGTCTTGTTTTTAAATACACCTTTTGGGAGGGGGAAAATAAGGAGTCACATCCAATGCCCCAGAGTGCTGAGCATCTTTATGAATAGATGAAGCTTATTTTGTGGGGATTTATGATATCTTCCATTCATTCTTTATCCAAACTGAGTCTCAAGAAAAAAGGTTACTCTTCATCCACAGATGGAAATTGAATACAGGGGGGAAAACAACTTAATTCAACAAATGGAAGAATATCTTCTTGAATTTTTTTCTGCCACCAATGTCTTTGAAATGAGTAGCCTATGAGTCCTTCCTAAAAAGAAGTTCTTTCTATCTGGTGGGTAAGTTTGCCTCCAACTTAGATGACCAGTGGAGTATGAGGAAATGCTTGTACATTAATACCAGCTCACAGCCCCACTGCACTTATTTTACTGGCTTTCAATTTTCCTAATTCTGTGACCCTTTAATTCAGTTCCTCATGTTGTGATGACCCCAACTGTAAAATTACTTCATTGCTACTTCATAACTGTAATTTTGCTACTGTTATGAATCGTAATGTAAATATTTGATATGTGACTCCCCCCAAGGGGCTGTGACCCACAGGTTGAGAACCACTGATTTATTTGAATAATAAATACAGTCACGCAGAGCATGCCTCTCTGTAGAGACAGTAGAGATCTTTAGTTGTCTTCCTCTATTTTATGCTGCATATGAGTATTACCCCTCAGGCTGAAGCACCACTCTGACTGAAGCAGGTATCTCAAACATTTGTGTTCTTCCTGCAACTGCCACCATTCTCAGACCTCTGTATAGCATATTCGTATCGTAAAATATCAGTACTTTGTACTCTTATGCCCATTAAGCAGACATAGTATTTCTATTAGTGGGAAAGCTGAAGCTAGAGTGTCACTGTCAGTTCAACTTCTGAGACTAGTTACACACTGCCAAGGTGTAAGCCCAGGTCATTCCATTAAAGCCAGGCCCTACCCACAGCTGCCTTCTTTCTACTTCCTTTCTCAGGTGTTCTTCACGTTCTTGTTTGCTCACCTGCTTATTACAAATGCAGATGTTCTTAGTCTTGCCATTAGTGTTCATCACTATTACGTGAAGACTGCTTGGGAGAGACTGAATTTCACCAAGACCTCAACCAAGTAGGGTCCTATCTATGACTTAGAATCCCCAAGAGTGAAATGAGGTTGTCAGTGTGACCCTTCTTTGGGAAATGACTCTCAATTCCCCTTGGTTTCCCACTCTTGTGTTCTCCACTGGAAGAATTCAGAAGAGACACAAAGAGCAGAGTGCAAAGGATAGAATTTGTTGTAGAAGAAAGGGATGAAAGTGTATGATGTATATGATGGCTGAAGTGACCATTGCTTCTGGTTATATTTTAGGCTGGCGTATTAGTTACTCTTCTATTGCAGTGATAAAATACCATAATCAAGGCAACTTATAGAAAGAAGGGCTTATTTGGGCTTATGGTTCTAGAGGGATAAGAGTCCATTTTGGCAAGGAAGCATGGCAACCAGTAGCCAGTTAGATGAGGATGCTGAGTGCTCACATATTGAACTATAAGCAAGAAGAAGAGAGAATGAACTAGGAATGATGTGAGGTTGACTTCTCAAAGTCTGTTCCCAGTGTCATACTTATGTCAGCAGGGCCATGCCTACTAAGCCTCCCCAAACAGTGCCACCAACTGGGGACTCAACCTTCAAATGTCTGAGACTCTGGGTGCTATTGCATTCAAACCACTACAGCTGACTTTATACAACCCCTAAAGTCTCTAGAACATGCAGCTTTTCTTTGGGGGTATTTTACTGTCCAAGTAGCTGGTAGACCCTTTTAAACTGACTCTTATGAAGGGGGATCATGATGTACTTGAAATCAGAAATCCATTGGCTAGAGAGCAATCATGTAAGATTTTTGATAGTTACCTGCTAATAAACTTTCTAGTGGTTCAAATGTCACACCTCCTTTCCAGGGTCAGAGATAAGATTCAAATCCCATTCTGTTGAGCAATAATCAGAGTCCTATAGTTTTAGACCTTAGTTTTATAAGCTGCTGATTATAAGGATGGCATCCATCCCCAGTGATCTCCAAGTCTGCTGACACATGAACTACTTGACAGCAAAAGAGAGCCAGGTGTCACATATTGTTCGTAACATTCTCGTGTGGAGTGTAGACTAGTGTTAAGAGAAACTGCTGACCGTGTTGAAAGGATGCCTCAGTGCTCCTCCAAGTCGATGTGACCATTCAGAGTGTGTGCATGGTCTGTGAGCATGCATAAATGTGCATGTGCTGGTATGGGTGTGCATAAGTATACATGCCTATGTATGTGAGTGTGCATGCCTCTGAACATTAGGCCTTGAGCACACCAAACACATTGCATATTCAGAAAACAATGTGCATTCTCCTCTCATATCTGGACCTGAAAGTATCAGCTGCAGGAGTGTGGGTGTAGTTTTAGCCAACCGCACACAACAGATATTAATGGATTCACCAAGGGTTACCTGACTTCTGGATTTCTTCAGCAATCCCATAAACAGACACTTTAAAGGGGAAAAATAACCATACTGTCAGTTCAAAGCATTTGTTTTTGTGAAGCAAAGACTGCATTAGAGCTGGTTAATAATCCCTGGTTGTCAGCTATTTTGACAGGGAAGGTATTTGGTATTTGAAATGCTGCATTTAATGGCTCTGTTCCTAGAAAATGAGGAAGTCATTTGAAGGACCAAAGAGTGTCAAGAGTAATCCTACCTGACACCATCAACTTTGCATATGAAAGGAAAAGAAGCTTTCCAGAGAAGCCCAGGGAGCCAAAGTTGCTTATCTTTCAAGTGCACTCTGGGTAGATCCCCAATCTGTGCCATTTACCAAGAGAAGCCTAAATAATGAAACAGGAGGCCCTTGGAGAGTCCAGACAGTCACACACCACCTTGGTGTTACCATGCCTGTGAAATCCCCAAGTGTTTTGATTTCTGAATTCTTACAAAATAAGATAATGGATTTGAAAGCACATCTTAGACTGGAATGTTGGAAAGTAGCAATGTTCTTTGTCTGTCATTCATTTGTTCATCATGTGGCTCCTTTGATCATTTTGTCTGAGCACAGAAATGCAGAGAATGGTTTCTTACTTCTTAGCACAGGCATGCATCAAGAGAACCAGACACACATTGGGCAGGAGATCAGAAGAGGGATGAACCACAGCACCAGTTTTGTGCTTTGAATTTCTTTCTCTTGAATCCAGATGTATTTTGGAAGACAGCTGTGTCTCTAGTCCATTTCTTCCACTCTAATTTCTATCCTAGATCTATTTTTCACACCTCTAAAGGAGTGATTACATGTGATATGCATGCTTCTCTGTGTGACATTCTGTAGAGTTGCCCATTGCCTACAGTGCAGAAGATATACTCCTCGAAGGATTTCAAGACCTCAGTCGGTGAGTTGGTCCTGGTCTTGTTCAGCTAAATTATCTACCCCTTATTCATACCCTTTCACTGCTCCTTGGGCCCACTGCACAATTTCTATTAGACAATCTTTTTTCACTTTTTAGTATCCCAGGGTGTTTATAAAGCCTGCACAGGCTTCACTTCTAGGAACCTTCTCCTAGTGCTGACATGAGTAACAATTCTACTTCTGGTCAGAGTCAAGTGCAATCTGCCGTCTAGGAAGCTGTTCCTACTATCCCAAGCATGTTTTCCTTCTTTTCTTCATGATCATAAATGACCTTGTAGTGAACATTGGCTGAGGATATTACTTTAGATCATGGACCTGTCCTTTGAAGAGGCTTGTCACTCTAAGAGACCAGATACTGAAGCCTGAAGAAAGCAGGTCACTCTCACCTCTCTGTCTGTCTATCTGTCTGTCTGTCTCTGTATCTCCTTCCCTCTCTCCCTCCCTCCTTCCCTTTCTCTGTGAAGTGGAGTAAAGAAGCCATACTGTTTTTAATTGATGGCTCCTCCATGCTTTCTATAAGATACATTATGTTGAACTAAGTAGTGTGATGCCTTCTCCAAAGACTGTGTCAGATGTTTTCTTTTGTTTGAGAGGATGTCTCTGAAGAGTCCCTCTTCTGTTCTCGAACAAACCCATATCTATCATCATGCCTGTGATGGCTGTGGCTCTTCCTCTTACTTAAGTGATCCCTGCTAATGAAGTTCCTCTCCAACTTTCAAAGAGAAGCGCTCACACACACACCACCTTTCCCTTCCAGGACCCACTTCTATTGTCTCTGATAAAATATACTCTTCCTTTTTAATGCTTTCCACCTCAAGGCCTAGCCATGGCTCTTATATTCTTGGAATAGTTCCTCTTTTACCAAAAGGTAACTGTGTCAGTTCCTTTCTCAAAAAAGAGCCCTATTACTCATAATACATGTGACCTCTGTTCTGTGTTCACCCAAACAAGGAGCATGGGAAATTTTTGCTGAATTTCTAAATGTACAGACATATGTCAGGTATTTTGTGGGTGAGGAGAGAGAGAGAGATATCCCATTTCTCTACTATAGTAGCAATTTCATTTTTCCGTAATGCCATTTTCAAACTTCAGAGATGCAGTAGCCTTAAGTATTTGCATTAGATTGCAGTTTCCTTTACAGTGGGAATATGTATTTTCACATTAGAAAGTTCTGGTTGTCTTAGTATGCAGTAAAGGAGCGATTCATGATGAAAGTACAACAGATAAGCCTTCGACATGCTGTGATAATGATTGGTAGAAGCACGGGGACTCCCGACAGTGGTTCTCATATTTCTCAAATATCCTCCATCAGCTATTAAATGGAGGAGTTCATTTGCTTTCTGAGGGTGACCAAGAAAAGTCAGAGAGATAATAGAAATGCAATGCCCACTGAGAGAGGTAACACAATATTGCAACTCAGAGAGGAAAGAAACCCCCATCAAACTCTTTCTTGAACACAAAGTTTAGTTTTAATCAGCTTTGTCAACAAAAGGAGCTAGCATATCACTGATGACATTAGAGGAAGACCGTGCTGTACTTAAGTGATGCTAAGATGTGTTGGGGGCAGAACATTAACTTTGATAGAGAGTAAATGAAAGTGTATGAAAACCTGTACAGTCCCAGAGAACAGAGTGGAGTGGGGACTTTCCCACAAATTATTCAGTACAAGATATTATCTTAAAAAAAAAAAAAAGAATAGGTTTATTGAAGCTGCACTGTTTCTCTTTCCTGCTCTCTCCCTCACTCCCATCCCCATCCCCCCTTTAATGACTCCGCCTTATAGGACGGGTGCCATGGCACAGGGATACTTGCTTCTGCATTAGTTACACGCTTGTAGAATTTTTAAGAATACCTCTGCAGCCAAATTTAAAGAAAAAAAAAGTTCAAAAACAGTGAAATTTCACAGGGACAGACAGTTGTTGGCGGTGATACTACACTGACCTGATTGTAATCGGGTTCAGTTTGTGCCATCAGTGACTCACCGAGAGGCCATGCTAACCAACACCCAGAAGGGGGCAGCACTTTATTTGCGTACCACCCCACTTCCCCCCACCCCAGCCCCACCTCCCCCGACTCCGCCCCAAGCAAGTATGAACTGCCCAGGTTCCAGCATGAGTGACAGGTTTCAATTCCCCTCTCAGAAATGGGGTTGCGGAGTGAGGTCCAGAAGGTGGAGTAGAAGGAGCCCTATGCCTCACCTTTACTTCTCCTCCTTTCCCTCAGCTGCACTCAGGCAGGTCAGGCGGGTGGCTGGCTGCAAGACCCTGGAGCATGCTGCTGAGACCCTCGGAGCTGAGTAGTGCTCTGGCAGTCTTGTGTGGCACAGACAGGAAACCAGCAGCTGGAATCTCTTCGAAAGTGCAGCAGAGAGTAAAGGAATTCAAGGCCATTTTAAATTTTGTCCTCATTCTAAACTCCTGTGCTCTAAAACGCCTTCACTTTTATGCAAAATTATCCACTTCCTGTGTCACCTGTCTCCTGTTTAGCCTGGCTTCCTGCATGCCACTGACTAAGGCTTGCTAACTAACGTGTGTAGCTGCCGTGACATTTCGCAGTAATGCTCAGTAGTATGTTAGACTTCACAAATGGCTTTCATACATCCAGTCAACAGATCCTCATTGCTCAGCTGCTGCCACCATATGGTCTGGTAGGTATTGTAGCTTGCAAAACGGTTGATCCAATTTCTTATATTTAGAGGAATTTCAGCCTAATAAAGAGACCAGTTGTGTGTGTGTGTGTGTGTGTGTGTGTGTGTGTGTGTGTGTGTGTGTGTGTACATGTGTGTGCACTCACAGCTCAGTATAATTAAGAAGAGAGTACACAGAGGACAGGCAGATTCATTGCCCACTGTTAGAGATGTCACTGAAGGTGGTCAAGTGCAGCTTTATAGAAGGAGGAAGTGGCATTTGCTGGACTCTTTTAACAAGAGAGGGAACAAGGTCACTGCAGCCGACATCAGGTTTGCAAAGGAGTGAAGATCTATGAGCTGTGTAACTGGTCAGTGCAGCTCCAGCAAGCCACTGGCATGGAGGGAGTTACAGATGCTGAAGAGGAAAGACAGGAAAACTCATGAGGGGATGAAGAACAAATGTCTAAGCTCCGAAAACCAAGGGGCCATCCCAGTAGTCATTGTTTCTCCAGCTTGTGAATGAAGCAACTGGCCTGATTAGGATGTTCAGCAGCTACTTGCCAAGAGCTGCTTCCTTAGAATTCAACAGCTCATTCCTTTGCGCATAATCCTTAAGGATTCGATGACAAGATGATTATAGGAGACTTAAACAATTAACATGAGTAAAGGGCGAACTGTTAGCCCACAAGAACCCCCAACGGGTGGACTTCCTAAGATCATTCATCTGCTTGCTTCACTTTTTAAAAAAATGTTAGCAATCTAGGGAAATATGAATACTAATGAACAGACTCACATTCTTTTCATTATAATCCATCTCTGAATATTCCAATGTGTCAAGAATATCTTTTTAAACCCTTCCACTAACCTAAAAAAAAAAAAAAAAATCAAGTAACCCATAAGGATTCAATTCTGTGGTCTAATTGGAGCTTATTTTCAAATCTCAAAATGGCCAATCCCAAAAGCCTTTCAAGTATCGAGAATCAAATCTTCAAATCTTGGTATGGGAACTAGTTTGAGTTCCATAGATTCCCTTGCTCTTTTCGTAAAAATGGATTTTTTTTTATGACAACCATGACTGTCCTGCAAATCTATGGTCTATCAGATGAAGCAATTAAGTAGCAGCAGGTAAAACAAAATCCCATGTTCACAAAGCATGTGACAGAAGGTTGGGGACTGGACCTCGTCCCTCCTCAGTCCAGGTGCAACGTTCTAGGGCTGCGGGGATCCCTAAAGTCTGTTCCACCAGAGTTCTGGAGCAAATGCCTTTTGCAAATTTCCTATGCAGCTAATCACCACTAGAGGGCGAGAGAGGACCTTCAAAGTTAACATGACTGCCTTTGCTTGAACTAGAAATCATTTAACAGTCACATGTTTATTGCAATTTAAGGGTTACACACCAACACTCATGCACGCGAGCATGCGCGCGCGCGCGCGCGCGCACACACACACACACACACACACACACACACACACACACACACACTAGCAACAAAAACAACAGCAAAATGAAGAAAAAGCCCGTCTCCCAAATGTGTTCCTCTATTTTTGTTTGTTAATTGTAGTTCAAATTACATTGCGCAATAAATATTGTGCTACAAACACCGTGCAACAAGATTAAGGAAGGGGACAGGAGAAAATAGAGGACTCATGTGAAGAACTGCATCTGGCCTGGGGTGAAAGGGATGAAGGTCCCCTTTAGCCAGTTTCTCTACGGAATCTATGAGGTCTTTTCCCATGTTTCAAGAACAAATGGAGTTGCTGTAGGATGAAAGAGTGATCACAGCGAGGAGCCATAATAGGAGGGAGTCAGAAGCCCACGCAGAGGAGAAGGCTTGTGTTGACTTTTTTTTTTTATGATCCTTGTCTCTAGGCCATATTTCACATGAGTTAGGATGTGTTGGCCTAGGAGCAGCATCTTCATAGAGGAGAGCAAAAATCCCACCCCAGTAATCAGATCTAGTCCTTTATCATCTTGGAGTACTGCCACAGTCAAGCTCATCCTGGAGGATGTTAGACTGATCTGAGCTGGTGATGCAGAGATGTTAATTGATGCAAAGAAGGCTTCAGTCCAGCTGTTTTAGCTCTGAGTCCCACAAACAATGCCTAGAGTGGCAAGAAGATGAATAACTTGGGTGGCCCATGGCCCATTAGTCCCCTTTGTAGTGGTCACCCAAACTGCTTTTAGGGCTTTGGAGGTATAGATCTCTTGGTAGCTGCTTCAAGGCCGACAGAAGGGTGAGGAGGGGAGCAGCAGAGTGTTTGAGAAGAGGGTCCACCCAAGGGGCCATGATAAAGCTTAACAGTTGGCAAAGATCCAGAACATAAGTCAGGAGGTAATAATTGTACAACTTTGTGGGGGAACATCAAGAGACAAAGTTATATGAAAACTTTAACATCAAGATTAACATGCATTATGTGCAATTGTACACCTGCCTGGACCATGTAGCAGAGTTTTGTAGCGGGTTAAGGGAACTTTATTACCTGTTTGTGTACATCACATTCCTGCATGAGGAACAGGCACCTGGGAGCTTTTCTCCGTCCAAGAGAACTAATTGAGCCTGTGTGTAGTTGTGGGGGAGGGGGGTGTCCTGGCATGCAAGTGTATCATAAATTTAACTCACTTTCCTCAAGCATTCGATATTTCACAGCCAATTTTTTATATACCTGATTTTAAATATTATCTTACATTAAACAAACCTGAAGGTTACTTTACACTTGCTTTGGATTACTTGCTTTACGCCCAGTTTTGATGTACGCAGAATACTTACTATACGATGGAAATGAAAATTGGTCTCTCCCACCGAGCTTGTCTCTGTAAATGATTACATTTGTACTGAGCATGGCAGACCACAAATTTGTATATTTTTAACAGTTTAAAACTGTTACCTTTACCCTTAACAGTTTAAAACAAGCTGGTACCTCTTATAAGATTAGAATTTTACAATTTTATCCTTATGAAATTTGAGTCTTAAAAATCTATAATTCTTGAATTAAAGATCCCTTAGTGTTAAAGTAAACTTTAAACCATAAATGCAGTCTATAGAGAGACTGGGAACCTCATTATCCAGATCCTTTTACAATATGCTTTTATGAAATACCACAGTTTTTATGTGAATCAGTTTTTACAAATAGCAAAAGATTAATGAAAATAGCAAGGGGAACCTTAGGAGATGACAAACGTTAATCATCGAACATACGTTACATAGAGCTTACTCATAATTTTGTTCTCATCTGTTATTTTTCATTCGCAGGACAAATACCATCATACAAAAATCCATGCTAATCCAAAATATCTTGGAGACTTCCTGCTGCCTCCTCAGTCTGAAAAAAAGGGAACACATTGATCAGTGGAGGGATAGCATACAGTCACCATAATCAAGATGGCAGTAAAGTCACATGGCATGCTTCTCTCCTGATGTCACCAGCTGAGATGGTAGAAAGCCTCATGACTGCTAGGTAATCAGCCAAGACAACAGCACACCACATGGGGCCCCAAGGTCAGCTCGCACATCAGGCACATGTCCTCTTCCCGAACAAGAGTTTAGTTCATGTTACATACATGGTATGTTATAGCAGATTACCTATACATCCCTTTTAAATCATATTCAGTGAACTTATAAATCCTAAATAAAGAAAGTTAAAGTTTCTTTCTTTTCTTTTCTTTCTTTCTTTTTTTTTTTTTGGACAAGGTCTTTCCCTGTAGCCCTGGCTGGCCTGTAATTTGCTATACAGACCAGGTTGACCTTGAATTAACAGAAATTACAGTGTTGTTTTTCTTTTTTAAGATTTATTTATTATGTATACAGTGTCCTATCTGCAAGCATGCCTGCAGACCAGAAGAAGGCGCCAAATCTCATAGATGGTTATGAGCCACCATGTGGTTGCTGGGAATTGAACTCAGGACCTCTGGAAGAACAGGCAATGCTCTTAACCTCTGAGCCATCTCTCCCAGTCCAAAAGTTAAAGTTTCAACAAAAGCTTTAGAGAACCGTGAACCAAACCAAGAAAATGGGTGGGCAGGGTTAGAATTCAGAGAGTTAAACACCTCACCATTTATAACCTCTATGGGTCATACTTTATTTCTCAGTTGTTCTCAAGTGCAAAATGTCTTTTCCTGGGCTGTTTTGTGTTTCTGTGTTTTCACTGTCACAGAGTCAGGTGATTGGCCTGACCCAGGATAGAGATTTTGGAGGAAACTTAAAAAAAAAAACAAAAAAAAAACTGCTTGAGTCTGGGGCAGGCAGGCCAAATCCCAACTCCAATACCAGTCTTCTCTGTAGAATAGAACAACATGAAACAAGTTTTCTATATTATTCACAACTCAAAAGATATTTGAATTTCTGTAAGACTGAAACCAGTGATCTACATGTCTATCACCAGTTTATGTGTATCTGCAGATAAGGGCAGACAGCCTGCAATGCTTTTACCTACTGAGGGAGGTGGGATGCTGGCCCTTATTGGAACAGAAATAACTTCCATAGTTTGCAAGGCAAGCTGGGAAATCTAGTCCCTGAGCAGAAAACCCTCAGGCTCAGCGAATACAAATGAGGAGTCTACAAGCTTGATCCTCAGAACCCACCTGTTGCCAGATGTGTAGTGTGAGTATCGGTGATCCCAGAATTCCTGTGAAGAGCTAGGAGGAGGAGAAAGGAGACTCCCTCAAACCTCTTGAGCCAGGTAGCCTGGAGTATGCGGTGAAGAGACTATGTCTCCCTTCCAACAAGCTCCATCCTGCTCAGCTTGTGAGATTAGACAGGATTGGAACACTCAGAGTATTAGGGTCATAGACCAGACCCTGTCTCAAACAAGGTGGAAGGTCCAGATCAACACCCAAGTTTGCCCTCTGATCTCTATCCATAGGCCATGTTATGAGTAGACCCACATTCACATACATGAATACGTACATATACATGTATAGATACACATATATACAAACATCATATATATTATGCCTTAAAATATTTGAAGAAATTAAATTAATTGAAACTAGGGACTGAAGAGATGACTCAGCTCAGCAAGTAAGAGTCGGTAGTGCTCATGCATTGGACTCAAGCACAGTTCCCAGCACCCACTTCAGGTGGGTCACAACTGCCTGCAAAGACAGCTTCATGAAGATCTGATGTCTCCAACCTCTGCAGACAGGCACCTACACTCACATGAACATACCCACGCACAGACACAAACTCACACCTGTAATGAAAAATAATAAAAACAAATCTTAAAAGACCCAAACAAGAAAATTAGAAATAAATGAAATCTAGAACGGAAATAAAAACAGTAAGCAGCTTTTGTATTAATAATAGAAGGTGTGGGATAATTAATATTGTTAGAGTTTAAAGTGACAGAAGAAAAGAATTGAAAGTCTTACCTCTATCAGTTGCATGGCTAGCAGAGTAAAGGACTAAATGGATAGATAAAATCATTCAAATCCCTAGCTTTATGAATCAGCCTCTGAGGAAAGGGGTTTGGATAAAGCTCACAGCAGCATCAGGGAACTGCCTTAGTGAGACAACAAAGACACGGTCTTCATATGAAGTCATTGCCTTTGCACATTTTGATCTGTTCAAATACAGACTGTCCTAGATTGAGTATGTGGCGTTACTGGTCCTAAATGTGAGGTTTTATGAATACATCATGATCAGTCCCTCTACCCAAGCCACAGTTGCTGTGGTTCTGCTTGTCTGGCTTTGACCTTGTAAAAGAGCATCAAGGGACAGAGATGACATGATGGAGACTGCTTCCCCCCTCAAACAAGCAGGTGTGACTAGAAGAAACGGGTCCTTGCTGATGTAAATGGCATTTTTATCAGATGTGAAAGCAAACCCTGGAATGTTTCAGAAAGGGAAGTCATGGAACCTTCATCAGAGAACCTTTAGAACGGTGACAGATTTCTGGAGCAGTGAGGAGACACCCATGGCCACTGGAAAGGATGACAGTGGGTCTTTAGGCCTTTGCAAGATGAGTCCGTAGGAGATTCCAAACACTAAATACTCCTATTTACACACAAGTTGTGCAATGGGAAAGTTGTGAGAATGTGTATATTCTGTAAAACTAAATGGGAGATTACTCTAGGGGAACAAGAGGGATTTGGGGACGACTGAAGGGTGCATGTGGCATGGAAGCATGCAAAAGGGGTCTGCCAGGCTTTGGAGAGCCCAGGGGGAGCATGGATGTCGGGGGAAGATACTGGAGAAAGAGGCAACAGAAACAAATTTTGTTTGAAAAATGCCATACTGAACACCAATACTTCATAAACATTTTAAAATGGCCTCATTGTTTACAAACTCTTACTGTGCCACAAGAGGGCAGTATTGCTTCATTGTTTCCTCCTTCATGTGACACCATCTCAGCTTTGCTCCTAAAAATCCAGCAGTGGGTTTTTCAGCACTCACTTAGGAAGTAGCAAGCAGTAATTAATACAATAATCCTGTATCATGTGTTTCAGAATGACAGAGAACTGGCTAAAGATCAACACTACT